ATTTATAGTGACGGATGTATCATCTGTACAAATGCTTCTTGCATACAGTGGCTAGAATAACATCGTAGGTCAATGTGCATCCATAGGTCTGCTGTTAATGTTGAGATTCTTTACAAGGGTTTTTTTTGTCAGTTGTTCATAAAGAGTAACATGTGACGGACTGTTGTTGAGCTTTCATGTGTGAGCTGCACACACAAAAGGGAACTTTAGGCCACTGAGATTCATCACTAACATCCTCTTTATCCTAACACACTAGACAACATAGAATTACACATCCGAAGAACACGCCCAAGTTTTCAAAAGTCTCTGGTGGGAGTTGGAGAGGGAGGAGGAGGAGGAGGAGGGTGGTGGAGCGAGGTTGTACATTAAACCGCGCATCATCCAGCAACGTTAAACTGATGGTCAGACTTTGGTTTGCAGCACTAACACCGATATCCCGACACAAACGCTGCTGTAGAAACAATAGCCTGATTGTAAAGGGCTTTGTAACGAGATCCACACAGTCTGCGGATCTATATAGACAATACTGTCGCTCTGGCAGTGAAAACATCCACTTCCCTGTGTGATTTATAACCTCACCTCGATCGATCGGTCACATCTGCGTCATTCCTCCGTCCACGCATTTCTCCGAGAGGCCTTTAAGATTAGACAAGCAGAAGAAAAAGCCCATCCACAGCAGTTATACATGTATCATCAGCTGCTGACAGGCAGTGTTGCCGTGTTCAAAATCTTCTCCATGCTTTTTCCGGGGAGGGACTTCCAGTTCACAGTCAGCTTTACGGTTTGTGCAAACAGACCAATGTATGGACATGATGGTCTGCTGTCACCGCGATCGCACAAATGATACCAATAGTTAGCTACACCGGAGTCCATTAAGTCAACTCTAGAACTCAATTTGTCAAATTAATGACTGGTCATTTGTTACTATTTAGACAATCTTTTCAGAAGTTTCAAATGTGAAACTAGTTATTGCCTGGGTCAGATAAAATCAGAACCTGTACCCTGCCTGTAACTTCAAAAGCTTGTTATCTACATGGAAATGAGCTTTTAAGTGTGATATTTTTTAAATTATTGAAGCTTTTCAAAATATGGTAAAGATGGAAAGCTTGCTACCTTTGATCAGTATTACAGACAGTAAGACTGGAGCCAATCTATTGTACCCTGGTACAATAAACACTCTGCTAAACCAAACGCTTTGAATTGTTCCAAAATGCAGATGTCTGGGGAAATACTGCAGCTGCAAAAAAGGAAAATGTCATGAGCCAAGGAAAATCCTCTTTTAAACTTCACATCAGTGTGACTAGTTAATAGAAATAAAAAAAGCCCCAGTGAAATACATAGTTTATTTACAAGACATGGGTTTACATTTTATATCTTTTTTTCCCCAGAAAGGCACTTAATCAAATACTTAATGCAAATTTTCAACAAGATTAAGGAAATTGCATTTTGGTAAAAGGCACATTTTAAAAAGCAAAAGCACATGATGGGTTTACACAACAATAAACGCAAATATACTAACAACTCTGAGTGACTTATTTCCAACACCACAATCCTGATATTTCTGATGACAACTGAAGAGCTTTAGTCTAAAACTAATCATCATATATAAGAATATCTTTGCAACATCACCTAAAACAAGAACTAGAAAGATAGGAATAGTTACAAACTAGGGGAGGAAAGACAAAACCACACACACATACTGTTATATATACAGCGTAATGAAACATGGATACTTCAATTGGTACACCATTTACTTTCCCAAATAATAAAGACAAGCTTAGGATGAGCCAGGCTGATGTAATGAGATGCATCTCAGAGGGACACATTATCTCTGCTCTGGGCAGAAGAGAAGTCAGAGCATTAGAAACTAAAAATAGAATACATTTGATTTAAGGCAATGGATGGATGTGTTCACCCAGTTAATAACAATATGCTCCGTTTTCTCAAAGACAGCAGAGACTCCCACAGTGATGTTTAGTGGTTACCTGCTTACTAGAATCAAAGACAGGTCCTACTGCATAGCAGAGTGTGAAAAAAGAATAACACACACACACACACATTTTACAATTTGTTCCTCCAGAGTGTGTTGGTCAGCAGATCTACTTTAAGTGAAAAGACTCATTGCAAATCAAGTGCAGCAAACAAGAAAGTCAGTCGACAGTTCCCCTTTTTCTTTAGATTTTTGCCACAATCGTCCTGTCTGTGGAATGAATGGAACCTGAGTGTGTGCACATCCAGACTCAACTAAACTGGACCCACCCTGGCTTGACAGTGTCTTGACTGGAGCTGTGGAGGAGAGGAGGCACAGGGCAACAGTGATAAGAGAGAGAGGAAGGGGATTAAAAACACTAACAAAAATATGACAGACAAGATGGATGACTGCAGACAAAGATGCTGGGGTCAACTGGGGAAAAAACTTACTTGGAACCAGCAGATGTGAAATCCCCCCACACATCAGAGCTGGGCTGGGCTGCAGGGACTGGAGAACTGTAGTCTAGAAGTGGGGCTGGATTTGGAGAAAACCAGTTATGATGATCACTTTATGTAAAGAGGTTAAAAAATATTTGACCAGCTACATAATCAGGGTGATCACCAGTGTTAGTCTGAACAGCTGGGACTGTCTGTTGTCCTGCAGGAGGCGGTATGACACCTCCAACCTTCACTCCTGGTGGAGGTGGGAGCAGACCCCCACCTACCGGCCGCATTTTAGCCCCTCCTGCATCCTTCTTCTTGATGTTCTGTGGTAGACAGAATCATGACCGTTTCTATGAAGTCCAAACACTTACTCTTTTCTTGAAAAATGTCATTACAGTTTCATTATTATTGTCACTTCACATGTGTAACATTGGGGCTACGTGCTCACCCCAATGCTGATCTTGATAGTCTGTCCCTCTTTGAAGCTCAGGTCCAGTTTGGGTGCTGTGCTCTGAGAAGCTTCCTGTTTTGCGAGCTCACCTTCTTGCTTCACCCACCTTTAGAAATTGAGTTTGAAATCGTGATGATTAAAACAAATTTATCCAGTTAAAGTTTAAAATGGGGCTTCGGAGTGAAACAATGTGAAGTAACGTCACGCCGTGCTGAATGTAGGGATGGGGGCGTCACATCTGGAGGTATGCACTGTATTTACCTGCACACATTCTTGTTTTGTTTGGCTAAAAAGTAGCTTAAATTGTTTAGATCTCAATTTACCGACTGTGGTAACCTTAGATGACCAGCTAACTCATAGCAGACCTAGAGATCCTGTCTGTGAGAGTGACAGACTGAAAGATGTCTCTACACACTGATCTCAGTTTGGGAGCGAACGCTAGCTAGCAGCTGTCGGCAGATAACACAAACACTGCAGATCAATCAATTTCTGTCCTGTCTGTGCTCAAAGTGAACATCAGAGTGCATGTTTGGATGCATTTGAAGCATCCACTACTGTATGTAATTGTATGGGAGAGTTTTTTTTTAATTGACTTATAGCTGTATGTAGCATATATACACTGTATATCTATCTATGATGGATAATGAGCATGATGCTCCAAACATTGTGCATTTACCCAAAATTCAACATAGCATCTCTATAGTACCGGAGTACTAGGTACAAGACAACAAATTGATCATAGCTCTTTGGTTAAGCATTTTTACAATGTAATTACAGTTTGAAAGTACTATCACCTTGGTACTGTAACTGCTGACATAGTGTAACAAACATTTTCATTCTAAAATGCTTACATTTTAAAAACCGTTTAGATCACCAGGAAGTACCTAAAAATAAGTCAATTGGAGGTATTTTATAATAATGTGTAAAGTCAAACTTTCATTAATTCACTTAAAATAATAATAATCTCATTCTAGAATAAAAAAATACACTTGAAGTCCAAATATACAAGGGTGAAAATTAGTTTACATACACATATATACATGAAAAAATACATCTCTAGAAATATGAACCAGGTCATAGAGACATGTTCTCTCACACACACACACACATATAAAGGTGACTTACTTAAAATGGTCTTGTAAAGCGACATTGAAGTCAAAGGAGTCTCCGCGATCAGCAAAACCCAGACCGATAAAAGCATGACGTCCTTTATAAAGCCAATTGTAAAGGCAAAAACACCCATTAGAATAATTCTTGACTTCTGCCTCAAATTTTTCAGAATTAAGATTAAGGCCATAGCCTGAATATAACACTTGTTTTCTAAAGATGACAAAGTGGTGTTGTCTAGACAGATGGCACCTGCTGTCATTATCTTTATAAACTGGCCGAAAACCAGAATTCATACAGTTAGGACAAGAGTGTCTTACCATTGCCGTCCTCTATCCGAATCACAAAATACCTGCTGGAGTCTGTGACTGCTTCAACTACACAACCTGGATACTGATCGACTGGAGCTTGTGCAAACAGTTCTCCTGCAAGGAACAAATTTACACCAACCAGTTCTAGTTTACAGTTATTTTCAGACTTGAAAGTTTTGAAATACAATCATGAATTTTTTTCATCTGGTTGTTAAGAGAGCTAGAAGTTCCATACGAGACAAGACATCTACAATTAAATGTGAAACAGCAAAACACTGCTGCAAATTCACCAAGAAGAAATACTTACCTGTACAACTACAACCCTAAACAAACCACACATGTAACTAACCTTGTGAACATGCATGGTAAATGTGACAAAAAAAGACCGGAAAAGTGAAACCGTTCCAGATTTCCTCATACAAGTTTTTTGTGTCCTGAACACATTGACATGTTTGTTCTGTGTGTTTATCATCCCCAATGACACAAACAGTGTTGAATGTGGAAGTCATGTTCATAGCAGTTTTATTTTGAAAGTGAAATCACTTATTGGCACAGCCTGGATGAAATAATGCCATGAATGGTTAAAACTGCATGTACAGCATGAGTTTGTTGCAAACTGTCTTTGTTTTGTTAATACAAGAGCCCTTGTTTCTATGGAAACAAATCAAACCCATCACTTTTTGCTAAAAAATGATTCAGATTCAGTTAAATCTCACATCCTTTAATCCAATAGAGAGCCAGTTTCGTCTTATGGTGTGGATCATAGATTTGAAGTCTCAAATATTTTTGAACCACTACCTTGTGCAATCACCCATAGTAATAACGTCTACAGGCTCCACATTTGCTACACCTGCATCTAGCTATAAGGAGATGTCACTGTGTTTACCTGTGTTTCTGTCCTCTAGCTTGATGAAGGCCAACTTGCCTTTAGCTGTGATTTTCATCCTACCACTCCATGCAGGTTCATCCAGCTTCCAGTCAGCAGCACTACAAAAACAGGAAACACGTCTGAATATGAAAGTGGTTTGTGTAATCCTTACTCAGTGACAGCTGCCTCTGCCACTGTTTTCATGCAGGCAGCTGTAGCTTTCCACAAAAAGAGGAACTGAAAATGGTCAGAGTTCTTACAAAGGAAAATGGAAACAGTGAACTCTATTGTCTTTCTGAAGAAAAGCAATAACATGAGGGCCTTCAACCTAAAAAGCTTTGGCTCCTTTCAATACCTCTGACTACAATATGACACCTGTGGATCATTTAAAGATGCCACAGACCCTAAGCTGAAACAAAGCTCAGACCTCAGCTTCAGAGATGGATGATGAGGCACTGGGCCTCCACCCACTGAATGAAACAGAATATATGTGGTTGTTTTGTGTCTGTTTAGTTTGCATCTATTTGTACTTGTTTCCCGTCTCTTTGTGTGTGTTTGTCTCTTCTTTTCATTCAAGTTGTCTGACATTTAGTCATATTGCATCTCTTTGTGGTCATTTTGGTCTGTCTTTTTTGTTTGTGTGTGTCTGAGGTCGTTTTGAACGTCATTGTAGTCATTTTGTCCGGCAATACCATTTTGTCTTGCATCACTTTCCACTCATTTTGCATCTCTTTCTGGGCGTTTTGCGTCTTTTTAAACTAATTTTGTGTCTCTTTGTTATCATTTGACTGACTTTACAAAAACAAATGTTAGCAGTCACTTCGTAGAGACGCTCTGGTCCTGAATCCCTGATCCCTTGGGCTAACGCCAGATAATGTTTTCAGATGTTCTTCCAATAGTTGTTCTTGGCAAAACAAGTACACTACTCACTAAACTACGATTTAACAGTAGTTCATGTGCCGAGTGTTGAATTAATCATCACACAAACTTTAATTTACTGACTCTTTAACTGCTAACTATGAACACGTGCATCCATTCTCGGACACGCAGTAGCCCAACTTCTTAAAAGTTTCCACACATAACGTTACCGGCAGTGTCATTATTTCTGTTATGTCTCACAACAACTCGTAACTTTGTAAAGCAAAGCAAGAGTACGTTACATATAATGAACTGTTAGTTGACAAAGTTGGGATCATGGTGTCCGAGTTCCGTGAGCAGATAAGAGCATCGACTTTTGTCAAGAGCGCGGAGACCGACATGGCGCTATTACAGCATGGTCATTGACCCCGTCTAGCATTTAGTCGTTTGTAAGAATTACTGGTGTGGGCTTCAATCGTCGATTCAATTTTGCGGAGAAATATAGAAAATTAAAATAAACATCCATTCTAACATCTGGTTGTCCGATAATGGGTGCATATCCGTTAAAGTAGCTTGCTGACAGACACTTGTCTCGCAGTAACAAACGTTACTGCTGTCCGGAAGTCATCTCACCGATATCCACGGTTAGAAGCTCGCGGCGGGATCTGGTAAACATGAACCTCGGGTTTCACACAGAGCATTGACTCATAACTGTTATCTTCTGCCATTTTGTCAAATTTCACTAACTAACAACTTCCGACTTTCAGTACACACCACGGCTGGAGGTGAACCCGAAGAAGATCTCGATTTAACCGCGGCGCTCGATGCAAACAGCGCCTCTTCTGGTCAGGATGGCCAGCTACACAGTACTTCTCGAAGGCTGGGTAAGGTAACTAACATCGCAGTCTGTAATGCTGGCAACACACACTGGCACATCAAAGCTCTGGCTGCAAAGGTCCAAATATTGTTTCCTCTGAGGAATCAGCATAGTTTTTGTGGCGTCGATTACTACTGGGAGTTTTTGATTGTACTTACTAAATATAATATTTGTTGTAGTTATATTATTGCAATGAAATTTATCTAATCACTAATGTATATTTAAAAAATGAGTGAATAAAGTAAACCTAATAACGAGAACAATCAATTGAAGGGTAGCCTAAATAGTTCAGCAAAAAAATACTCTGAATTCATAAAAGCTTTTGTTAAAAAAGGCTTTATGAAATATAAATCAGACATGCACCATGCTCACTTTTTAATGTGTATTTATTAAAGGGTTTTCAAATTTTGTTTTGCAAGTTTCAAAATGTCACTGTCATCAAATCAGCCTAAAACCAGACAGGTGGTTGAAAATAACCAAAACAAAGCATCATGGGTAAATCACACAGGTACAGCATTGTTATTTGATTTTAATCATCTACTTAAATTTATTACAAATCTTATTTTGAAATTTGAACCCCAGTCCCTGGGAAGAGTGTACTGATTGCATGAAGAGATATCAGTACAAGTGCACCAAAAACAACAACAACAACAACAACAAAAAAAAAACTGGAAAATGTTACCAGGAAGAGTGTACTGATTGCATGATGAGATATCAATGATGTTACAACCTTGCAGGTTGTTCTTCCTAACAGCATGTACAATCTCAAAACAAAAACAGAGACAGAGGTATCTGCAGTAGGCAGAAACAAAACTTCTATCTATCTATCAAAACTTCAGTTCCGCCTCAACTTAAATTCCCAAAAGTCACTAGCAAGCGATGCAATCCCCTGACCCTAAGTTTCTTCTTTTCTTTAGAAGTGAGGTCAAATATAGCTCCTTAACTTTCTGTTAATCCGTTTCAATCCATTACACTTACTACACCGTTACAGGGGTTGTTCTTTTTGCCTAAAACTCGAGATTAGGCCAGTAATAAACAGCACGTCAATTGCAAAGCATCTACTCAGCAAAATCAATTAACCGATAACAAGTGCACCAAAAACAACAACAACAAAAAAAACAAACAAAACAAGATTCTCACTGGAAAATGTTACCAGGAACATTTCTCATTTAAGGCATAAAAGTGTCAAAATGGCAGGTTCATCCCTGCATTCAGCAACCCATCCATATTTGATTACATTGAGTTCATGTTGTAAAATGCTTAGACTAATCAAAATCAGGCAGTGGACTTCAGCTTCCTTTTAAATAACACTGATTAAAAGATGAGATTTCCTGTTATTGTCGGTTTTGTAGATTTGATCACCAGTTCCCTTGACCCTGACAGAACATCTGCCTAAATGAAGCATGTGACTAGGTCCTCCTCCATACTGGGCATTAAGATGTGTTTTTCTAAACAGTTAGCACACCATCATTTCAACAGTACACATTCAGTAAAAATACTGCAACCAGTGCAAAAAAAAAAAAGGCAAATTAAATCTTTGCATGAGAGCTGAACTGTAGATGGGTGTAACAGAAGCTCCAACATAGCTACGCTGATTAGAAGCAGCAGAGTGACATTCAGAACACTGATGCATGTTTACTTCAGATTTTTAATTCACAGACGGGTCCAATTTCTTCCGATTTGATAAAATTTAACATGACACTACCAGTAAAGATTCCTATGTAGGCTACATCATCTAGTCTGTTATACACTACTGATCTTCTGACTTGAACATAATGTCTCAGAGAAAAAAAAACCCACACACACAAAAAACACTAAACAGTTTGAAACATAATATGTAGGCAGTAAAATAAAATAAAATAAAAAAGCCAGGGAATTGTTTATTATTGCTTGAATGAGCTTAAGTTTTAGTGACACACTGTTTTTTTCCGATCTCTCATCTTTGGCCACAGCGTGTGTGACCACGGGGCATTTCTTCTATAGCCACCAGTGCCAAACACAGGCCTGGGGACTCCCTGGGACAATGCCACTACAGTATTAAAACACTTTTTAGTACAGGGCACGTTTACTCAAAGGGTTGAATCAGTGTACTTTCTAGCACCTCACACTCAAGGAGCAGAACACAGTAAACTGCACTGTCAAGCACATAATTTCCACTCAACCCACTAAACTGCGGCCCGCTTCCTGGTGGACACTCAGCCATACTCCACACCACTATCTGTGGAGAAGCCAGCTCGTTCATTCCCACAAGTTCTCCTTATTCTCCCTGAAGAGAGAGACACCTGACAACATGGTGCTTGTTTGGCCATTCAGACTTAAAATCATAGGGCACCTCATGGTACATCGAAGTATCACAGTGTGTAGGGATGTGAGGCAAAAGCCTGTTTACAGTGTGGAACAGAAGGGATTCAGGTGTTTGGCTGATCTCTGCCAACCCCTT